AATATGTAAAATAATCATTATTAAAATATAAAAAACCACAAGGCACAATTGAATGAATATTCACCGGTGTCCTTGGGTCTCCAAACCTAAAGACATAGCCAGGTCTTGGCAGAATATTAAGGGGGATGGAGCTAACTTCACTTCAGGGCGAAGAATGTTGCATAAGGCAAGTGAACTATTTTGCATTTCAGCCACCATTCTTTTCAGAAATGCAAGTAAAGTTGTATATTAAAATGTGTTTTATTGAAAATGAGTCCTATAGGCTAGCATTTTACTACTTTTGTTTTGTGTTCCTGTTGCCTACTCTTCCCAAAAGCAACATTTGTATTTTACAAAGTTAGCAATGATAGCATTTATTGCAACCTAATGGCACCTTAGCTATTTTGTTTAGGATATTTTGATCTAGAGATATTTTGCACTAGTAAACACCTCTGAAATTTAAATAGTGTCACAGATGCCTCACTAAAAGCTTCCCATGGCTAATTAGCTTGTCAGGCATGCCTTTTAAAATATAAATTTGTGCAGGAAGCTAAATAAATGACAAAAGTAGGACAGCTATCCAAGTGGAAAAACACAAACCTGTTTTCCATGAGATTATTTAATAACAGCTGCTTTAATTTGTCTTAGAGTGGAGAAGTTCACATGTTAAAATGACAAAACAATATTATGAATCAATTCACCAGCACAATTCTTGCAGCATGGACCCCTTGGGAGTCCGTGAGATGATTGTTTCAGACTTCTGTTGTAAAGCCTGATCAGTGTAATTCTGACATTTAGCAATTCAGCATATGCAAGCCGGATATTATGTGGCCTCTTTTCTGTCATAGCCATGGTTTTAGAGATTAAACATCCAATATTGTCCTGTCATTTTGAAGATAAGGCACCATTTTTGACCTAGCCCTTTCACTGATTTTCTTCTCCATAAGCCCAGCAGTTTCTATGTATTTTGTCAGCCCATACTCATCCCCAGCTTTCATTTTTCTGTCTTAATTTCCCACCTACTGGCACCCTCTGTTTACGTTGTTGATCATTCTTTACTGTCTTTTTGTCATTACACAAAATTACTATATAAGTTTTCTTCTTTTCCTTTTTTAAATGAGAGTTTCAGTAAATTGCTAGAAAATATTTTTAGAAATGTCTCTAGACCATGTTTCAATTAGAAACATAGGAAATACAGAGGTGAAGTTGAAGCTCTGCAGTTTTTTTATTGTCCATGCGTTAAAAATATTTTTAAATATTTAAACAAAATTATTTAAATAGTGTTAGTGGAATGCTAGCTAAAAAAACCAAGATGATATGTTTCCAACTATAGATGTTGAGCATATATGAACAAATTGGCTTCTGTATAGTTACTCAGCTCATTTTACTATTGTAAATAGATATATTGAACTTTAGAAGCTAAGCATATTTGTGTAATTCTACCCATATTTTCCAACTAAAAAACGGCCAAAAAATTCATCCCATCCCATTCCACTGTCTCAACCATATCCTTTGTCCCAAAAAATTAACTTTCAGAGGTGGAGGGAAATAACCCACTGTAATAGTCAAGGCATTATAGCTTCTGTTTTTTTTAAAAAATGGAGGCCATAATTTAATCATATTGTGTCTGGGAATTACTGCCTCATTATGTAATTAAATATTTTAGGCAACCTTTATTTCTTCATTTTTCTCTTTCCTTGGGCCAACTTCTATTATTTTACCCTCTTCTGAATGCTTCTCACACAAAATGTTAAAAAAATTACCTTGAGATTCACTATATATTCCAGTGTGGTACAGAATCATTTAACAAAATTCCTAATCTTAGCTCTGAGGTCTTATTCTGAATCCTAGTTACTCATTGCCCTAATTTGAATTCTGACAGCTGTTCCTCTGCTCCTGGAGACTAGAGAATACTTTGGACAGCTATCAATGCAGTATTTGGCAGAAATCACTCCCTTTCTTATGCAATTGAAGGGATGCAAGCTACTTAATTGAAATTTAGTGCTATAATTAATATCTATTTGACAAACTAATTTACAATGGTTGTATTATAGAATGAGTTAAAGTGTTCTATATACTGAGTTACAGTATTAACAGACCAATCCTTTGAAGTAACAGATTCTTTAAATGGCTTGCAAATTTTGGAGGCAATCCAAATCAAAACCCTTTAGATGCATTTTATACATCAGTTTTATTTATAATTTGGTAAACGTTATTAATTTGCAGAAGATTAAATGTAGTCTATTTTTTCTCCTTAACAGCAATTCCTGCTTTGCCAAATGTTAAACAAAAGACTTTTTTTTCTAAACAGCAGATGGTAATACCCCCGATACAAATAAAGCTGCTTTAGACTGTACTATTTCTATTCTTGTCTTATGTTTTACTCTCATGAGACTGATCCTTTTCAGTAGAAAATGTGGATGTAAATGAAACACCTTCAAGCTAATAGGAATGAGGTTCTTCTAATTTTGATTGTTAAAATGGACATCCCAACACCTTCAAAAATTATTGTTAGGTTTTAAAATGTAGCAAAACAACACACGCTGAAATTATACACCATTATTGATTGTCTTGCTTATTATTTCTGCCCTTTAACCAAACAGTAGCATCTGTCATTAGGCAGCAAACTGTTCCTTTAGCCTTATTAAGGAGCAACTACTGTTTCTTCTCAAAACAATACTTGCTAAAATCATGCTTTTTATAATTAATGGATTGTAAAAAGTGAGATCATTAGATTATGAACAAGAAAGTTACCTTGACTTTGAAATGCAGCCAATAATGCAGTTTAATGTGTGTTTCTTACGTAACTTGTATGTGAGGAATTGACTTGAAAAAGGCTTTGTGGTCAGAATGGAAAGTTTAAATTGATTGTCAGTGAAGAAAACTGTTCAGTGGAGTTTGAAGGGAATTCTCCAGAACAGAGAGCATTTTTGGACTAATAGAAACCAGATGAGCTCCTTGCTGTGGGGAGAATGTTAAGATGTCTACCTGTTATTTTGTGTTCTGCATCGTAGAATCAATGCTGTAGCCAACTGCTATGAAGTTCTTACTTGAGAACTTAAGAGTTGACATAAAAATGAAAAACTGAAACACAGCCCCTGAAGTACAAGAACTGAAATAATTCTACAAGAGCTGACTTGACTCTAGCTGACTGGATCATACATATAATTATGCTGACCAGTGACTACAAAAACAGCTGAATTGCTTTAGTGCCCATAAACCCTGTCCTTTATATTATATAAGCAGCAATTCTCTTCCCCTCTAGCTTTACAGTTAATGTACTTTGGCATCAGAGAAAAATTGCAGAGCAGGAACTGTCAGTTCTCAAGCCAGAGCACTAAATAACTAGTGTAATGTACCTTTTGTTCTGTATTGGAGCAGTCAGGCATCATACTTTCTGTCTGAACAAATTAGGGGGATACTAATGTGTAAGCTTTCACATACTTTAGTATCATGCTTTCTAGTAAGGCATCTGAAAGACCTCTGTTAAAAACTGTCACACAAGCTTCCCTAACAGAATGGTATTTCTTACCTTGCAGTTCTATTGCAGAGATCCCCAATCTTTTGGGCATCAGGGACCGGTTCCATGGAGAGAGGTTTTCCACAGATTGGAGAATGTGTGATTTTGTGGGCTGCCTGCATCCCATGGATGGGGCGTTGTTTGTTTGTGCGGACCGATTGCTGGCATGCCGCCGCCCGATACCAGTCCATGGCCCGGGGGTTGGGGACCCCTATTCTATTGGATCAGCCCTGGTAAATTCATTAATAAGTTCTTCAGCTTACAGATAGCAGTATCAGAAATATAAAAAGCAAAGTAATCAAAGATACTATCATCTATAGTAGAATGTTTCTCATTTAGGCAAAATAAGGCTTTTCTGCATAACAACAACAATAATAACAATAATAATGAGTTGGAAGGGACCTTGGAGGTCTTCTAGTCCAATCCCCTGCTCAGGCAGGAAACCCTACACCATTTCAGACAAATGGTTGTCTAGTCTCTTCTTAAAAATTTGCAGTGTTGGAGCATTCACAATTTCTGGAGGCAGGTTGTTTCACTGATTGTTCTAATTGTGACACTACTACTGTGACGCTTGTGACACTATAGTTTCTAACTCAAGGACTTGTTCTTTTTTCCTGTACTTCTCTTTTTTAAGGTATAATACTATGAAGGTTTTGAAATTTTATTGTGTAATTATCACTGAGGAATGTGTGTATGTTAGAAAGTTTATTGATGTGTTGATTTAGAGAAAGCATATGATGAAAGTAGTAATGCTTGAATTATGAAAGACTTTGGAGTTCTAGATTAGTTGATAAATATGGTAAGAATGGTATACAATGAAAATAGCATGCATGGAGTAAAAGGAATGCTTAGCAAATGAACACTGAGCAAGGAGTGAGCTGAGGATGACTGTTTAATGTATTTATGGAGAACTATAAAAGGAATGCCTGCGGATGATCTTAGAATTGTTGTTTGGGGATCTGAATATATATTTAATTCTTATATGCAGAGTATTTTGGGTTTTGGGTAGGGAATCTGATATGTAATGAAATTTTAAGCAGACTGTCATGCACCAAGGAATATGACCCACACAAAAATACACAAATAGGTGTGTGGACATGGTGCAAATAAAGATAATTTGCAAAGATAGAAAAGTGTAGAGATACAGTGAATGTATTGATAAAAACTAGATTTAATTTATTTACTTCTTTTTTCTTATCTAATGCCTTCAATTTATTTGGTTGTTTCTGTGCTCTGCTTCCCTAAAATATAGCCTGATGAATATATTTATTCCGGTATATCATCTTTTTTTATCTTCTAAGGAAATGCAAAAACAACGATTTGAAGCTACAATTCAGATTCTTTTTGTGTAAACAAAGCTATCTTATCAAACGTTAGAATACACATCATATAATCCAGGTTAGTGTAAAGCAGCATTTTTATCACTGCTACTAATGCAACAGAAAAGTGTTCAAAACATCAGAGATGTATACTTCCAATGACTGCCAGGAATAACCCAATATTAAATCGTAAAGAAGGTATTTTTAATTTTAGACATTACTGCAAATTACATAATTTCAATCATAGAGTCTTCAAATATATTACAGCTAGAGGCATTTTCTAAGTTCAGCAGCAAGATCCTGGGGGGTAGGGCGACTGGCTGTACAGCTTACTAAGATTCCTTCATTTACAAGAGCTTCAGCTGTTGTTGGACCTATTGCGGCAAACTGAAAAGAAAGCCATGTTATAGGATTTATTTATGTATTTATGCATATAGAACAATATTTAAACTTAAAAAAATAGAAAAGTGATGAAAAAAGTAAGATAAAATGCAGTAGAAATATGCTTGCTGTGTTGGTCATCAAGACCGATGAAAAAAATAAATAATTTACTTTTATGGCTTTCAGATCTCTAGTAGTAGTTATAAAATACTATGTGTCAAAATTCTGGTGTAAAACTTACCTTAATTTGGGAAATGAGATCACCTGACAATTTCAAAATCTGCTTCAGACAATACTTGACACCAGAAGGACTGAAGAAAATAATACTAGCAGGAACACCCTGTCCAAATAAAAATATCGAGAGAGAGAGAGAACAGATATTTCTTTACATTTTCAGTTCCAGCACTCTTAGATTTTTATGACTGTAAAAAGATAGGTTGCTTCAGAAGTTAAACGTCACCTTCATTCCTAACCTAGGCACATGACTGCAATGGAAATAGCACTGCATTTTGTTTAGCAAAACCACTCTACTACCTGATCAAGAATAGCCACTTTGAGGCTGGGAAGCACATTTGAATGCTGTTATATAATGCAGGGGTCCCAAACCCCGGTCCATGGACCAGTACCGGGCCACAGCATGCCAGCAACCGGGCCACACAAACAAGCAAAGCCCCATCCGTGGGATGCAGGCAGCACACAAAACCACATACTCTCCGGTCTGTGGAAAAACCTTTCTCCATGGAACCAGTCTCTGGTGCCCAAAAGGTTGGGGACCTCTGATATAATGGTTACCAGAGAGCCTGTCAGTTCACAAAGCCATAGAAATTCTCCCTCAATAGCAGGGGAAAATATCTCCAAAACATTTGCTTGGTCTAACCTGTGTTCAGTGGTAACTCTGTACCAGATAAATGGAAGACAGTTATTTTCTTGAATTGCAACATGACTGAGAAAACAAAATACCTCTTGTGAGAAGTAATTCGTCAAGGATTCCTGGAGGTCAGGATGTTGGCTGGTTTGATAAACAGTGACAGATTCCAATACAATATCTGCAATGTGAATAATGAAACTTATTTGTGATTTAATTGTTTATTGTTTTCAATTAAAACATGAAAGGAAATATATTTAAACCAAAATTCATTCTTCTACCTAAAATGCAGATAAAGCCAGCTGATTATAAAGCAAAATTCTTATCAATATTTTATTGTCACGGACAGTATGATTTAAGACACCATGTGGCCATTTAATCTTTTTTGAAAGTTTTTAATCTTCATGAAAAGTTGTTACCAGAATACTATCAAGAGATATGATCAAAACAGAATAAAAATCCTATGACATATAATACAAATGTGAAGATTTGTAAAGCATATAAGAATAGCTGGGCAAAGAAATTGCTGAGAGAAGAGAAGAAAGTGCTAACTTTAACCAAATTCAAAATGTATTCTTTCTAAAGATAAAGTCTCATTAATATATCACCCTTGAAAGAAATAAAGAGAATTTCAAATCAGGTAATAAAATGTAATTGAATGGGCAGTATCTCTCAGAACAGATAATGAGAGCATTTTAGCAATAATAAAATGGCATTAGTTGGGAAATATTTCTACCTACAGATGTAATAATTCATTATGTGAAAATACTCAAAAATATAGATTTGGAATTTTGCAATTCCAAAATTGTCAACTAACAGGAAGCAATGTCAACTTTAGCTGGATAAAAATGTGCCTGTAAAAGAAGTAGTCATGCCTGATTCAAAATCTGGATTACTATTGATCAAAAGTAACATCTTAAATGAACAAGGTATTTAATTAATGACAATTGTTTTTTTAATCAAGTGGAATTATGCATATGGATGAAGGTTTCTGTTCTTGAAATTCTAGATTATACAGTATTTGAACATAACAAAACATCAGGATTTTGTTATGTTCAAAGGATTTCTGTCTTTTGGAAGAAAGAAAAAGGGCAGCATTTGAAAAGAGCAATAGAATTTGTTTTTTCTCTGAACCTAGTAATATTTTGTCAAGCTCCGTATCTTGTCTATTAATTTCCCACTCTTTCTTATCTTTCACACATCTTGCTTGCATCTGAAGGTAGGACCACCATTCCAAAACTATTCCCTGTTGTCTCAGCTCTTGTCTTTGCTTTAGATGTCCTTCCTTTTACCGAATGTCTTTATATGTAATAACCTTATCTTGCCTATATAGGTTGGGGTGTGTAACTGCTTCTAATGGTGAGAGCCAACCTGGAACTTCTCTATAGTATTGGCCTTTAACTATACTCCAACTTTTTATAAGTTCTTGCCGAACTTTATGTCTCAAGAAGTAGGAGGAAACAGAATACTACCTAATTTGGAATAAATTTTCCAAATGGAGGGAAAAAGGAAGGAAGTCGATAGAAGAGATATAAGTAGAGGAAGAATATTAGAAATGTATAGCTGCATATAAATATATAACATTTATTCTTGTATGTACAGTAAGGAATGACAAAGATATATGTCAAGGATGATACATTACGTTCAATGTTTTTTAATTTTGTATTTAATAAAATGTTAAAAAAAGAGCAATAGAATTATTGAAAAAAGGAATAATTTGGTAGTTAAACACTATGGGAAAATAAATTACATATATACTGAATGCTGGTGAGGTATAAAGTATATACAATCTATTATACAGGAACTTTCTCTGTATTCTATGCTTTGCACCTCAAGCAACTGTGTATGTGGAAGAATCCTAACTATACAGCAGAGGAATATTTCCTAATGTATAATATTGTGAGGATATATCACAGATTTTTCACTGACTGGATTTTTCCAAGTCAGGAAGAAATGTGACACAGGTTGATGAATCTGGTGATTTTGTTTTTGTTTTAGAACAGCTAGATTTAGAACAACAACTGTGTTTAGTTTATTGTCAGCAGATGGTAGTCATCAAGTCTATTTAGGCTTTGCTCTGCTATTTAAAAAAAGGATAAAACCAATTAACTGAGCATTATAAAAGTGAGATGACAAACCAATACTCCTTTCTAGTGTCATACATATTGATATAAATGGCACACTATTAACTTTCTTCCATTTTTGTATTGTTCTTAAAAGAATGAATAAGCTGGCCATAATTCAACATTTTTTTTGTCAATGCTGTGAAACCAGGCATCTGTGCAAGATTAATTATGTGTAGGGGTGACAGAGAAAACACAAGTGAATGTCATCTCATATTATGACCATAAAAATTCATTTTCAAGATCACTGCCATAATTTTAAAAATAATAAACCAATTGGGATATTCTTTATGCCAAAGGGACTTGGTAGCAAACATAAAAAGTTGTCCATTTTTGACAGCTAAAATCCTCTAAGTTAGAAGCCCCCAACCTTTTGGGCACCAGGGACCGGTTCTGTGGAGAAACATTTTTCTGCGGACCGGAGAGGGCATAGTTTCATGTGCTGCCTGCATCCCATTGCTTGTTTGTGCAGCTCGGTTGTTCGCATGCTGTGGCCCGGTGCTGGCCCATGGACCGGGGGTTGGGGACCCCTGCTCTAAGTGTTTGTGACAAGTACACTTCAAAAATAATATAGGCACTGTCAGGGCTGTTGTTAAGGATTGTTTGTTTACTGGATTTTTCCCTATCTCATAACTCAAATGAAAGAGGATAAGAGGAGCAAGGCCGGTGTGGCTTCTGCAATTGCAGGCAGTGTGAGGGGGGAACACAGGCGAAAGTCAAAGCTGGCCTGGCTTCTGCAATTTCAAGTGGTGTGGGGGGGCTGTGCAGGCAAACAGCAAGGCCGGTGTGGCTTCTGGAGTTGTATGGAGGAGCACAGCAGGCTAATAGAGGTAGCACACAGCTTCTGGTGTTGCATGTGCGAGGGTGGCAGGCAAACAGAGGTGGCACGTGAACTGACTGTTCGGTGTCAGGCCAGAGTCTAGGCGCAGAGGCAACGGAGGGGAGGATGGACAAAATGAGAAGCCCCTGTCCACCACTCCCTGCTCTGCCTGGAGCCTGACACCTAAAAAAAAACCCCTGCAGAGCAGTGCCTTTTTTCCCCACCCTCTCCTCCATTGCCTCTGCTCCTGGTCTCCAGGAATGGGCAATTCGTGCGCCACCTCCATTCACCTGTGACACCCCCCACACAACGCCAAAAGCTGCATGCAATCTTTGTTCGCCTGCTGTGCCCCCCATGCAACGCCAGAAACCACTCCCACCTTGCTGTTCATCTGGGCTCCCTCCACCACCATAACTGCAGAAGCGGCACTGGCCTGGCTCCTCTTCCCCTTTCGTTTGAGTTGTGAGCCAAGCTGTCTTTGTCAAGTCCCCTTGAGGCACCCCTCCGTCCCTTTCCGGTCACCCGCAACACACTCTTGCCTCTCTGCACCCCCAGTGGCTGCTACTCCTGCCGCCACTCCCCCTCCCTCCAGTCCTGGTGACAGATCTTCAAGGTCCCAAAACTTGTGCAGCAGCAACAGTACTTTTTAAAAATCTTGCATTGCACGCTCCCCCCCCAATCTCTGCCATCACCCATTACCTAATCACATGCTGTCCCCCCCCCCCAGCACCATTGCTTCTGCCTGCCACCTAATTGGCTGAGGGCTATTTGTCCCATGCAGCCAAAGGCCCGGGTCAAACGGTGTCTGGGTGAAAGGACTGGGCTGAAGGATGAGGGGCAGAGGGCCAGGGGCCCATTGGCTGTGGAGAATGGCCAGGGAAGGGCCAGCGGAAGAGGAAAGTTGGCTGTAATGGGCTGAGGCGGGTGGCAGGGGGCGAAGGAGGCACAGCCAAGGGTCTGTGCCTAAACATCTCATTCCACAGTCTAACATCCAAATGCCTAGTCTCACTGGCTCGCCTATAACACTCAAATCGCTAGTCTCACTGGCTGTCCTGTAATAATACAAATACAGCAATTATAATAATATAAGCTAAGTTACTAACATTATAGTAACACATTAAATTAAAATGGCACCAATCACTCAGTGAATTTCCAGCCAAGTCCTTGCCAGCTTCCAGAAATCTATATGAGAGGAGTCATCCTCGGCCTGTTATTTCCAAGGAGACATACCTCTGAGAGAATGCCTTGCCCGAAGGCCCACGCCTTTGTGCCTCCCAGCAGGTGAAATGCCTTAGCAAATATTGTCTCACTTATACTGGCCGGATGAATAGATCTTTGGTAAAAAGGGACTCTTTTTTTGTTTTGCATAGGAACGTAGGAAAGTATCCTAGTTTAATTCAGAGCATTGGTCCGTCCTAGCCAGGATTTTATTTTGCATTAATTTTTTGTTTTATTTCCAAAGTTAAAATACAAACACCAAAAAAGAACAAAGAAAAAAAGAATTCCAGACTTTGTTCCTAGCCAGGATCTTTTGACCCTACTGATATAGGCTCTTAAAGATATCTGGCAGAATTTTCTTCCACCTCTATATGGAGATGCTAGGGATTTTCAGCATTTATTCTATAACTAACCTGAACTCTGAACTTGTTTATTCAATGTATATAGCTGCTCTCTTGCTGGGCAACTCTTAAGATGCCTAGAAGACATGTTAGTCTTCATAAGATCTTCTGAGTCAAGATCTTATTCCACGTATTTTAAACAATTGGGGGCTTTATTTTTTTTGCCCAGAAGTGAGGTGACATTATAGTGGTTACGTTGCACAGTAATATACAAACCATGCCTATGTCTTGTCTGTAAGCAGATCAGTTCATGCCATAGAATGAGAAATGGAAAACAGCTGTTCATCTATAACTGTAGTTCTAGTGCATCTACCAATCATACACATGGCTATTCCAGACTGTGCTGATATTGCTAGAACATTCTAGAGCTCAACTGGATTTTGGCAGGCTCACAAAAGTCTTATCCACAGCACACACTTGGATACTTAGCTTAGTTTCTTAAGATCCACCCAGAATAGTCATGGTGACTAGAATATATCCTCTTTTTTTAAAAAATCAAGTTGGAATCAAGTATTATATGAAAGTCAAGATAATTAGGTAATTTCCAAGCTTTAGATAATAATGTTAATGGAAGCAGTAGACGATCATTCTGACAAGACTGACTTAAGGTCCCACCAGGCTTTCCTGTGCTTAAGGAGCTCCAAGGTGGCCAGTTCTTCTGCTTTCACCATAGTAATACTACTGGCCTCCACATACTTATGAAGATTCAGAAAATCTGGAATAGGTGCAGAGGACAATGTCAATGACCAAAGAATTATTATAAAGATGAAATGAGACAATGAATAGCTCAGTCTTGAGAAAAGAAGACAGAAGAGAATATGACAGTATTTTCCAAATACCTACAGGATGTCATACAGAAAGAAGTCAAGATTTGTTATCTAGCAGCCCAGAATCTAAAACACCAAATAATAGTCTTATGTTACAGAAAAGCAGTTTCTGAAAAAAAAAATGTTAAGAAGCCTGAGAGTAAAAATGAGGTAGCAGAACTAATCACAGAGGGAGATAGCGAATTCCCTTAACTAGATCTGTGCAAGCAAAGTTTGGAGAGCCATCTGTGGGGAGAAGGTTCATATTTATTTCTTGCACCATGGAGAATTGCATATTGTGGCCCAAGAGACTCTTTCCAACTCTTCAGGTTCTATATTTATTTTTTATCCCACCTTTATTATTTTTATAAATAACTCAAGGTGGCAAACACAACCTAATACTCCTTCCTACGTTTCCCACAATAATAACACTGTGAGGTGAGTTGGGTTTTCTTAACAGTCATTGCCTTATTTCCTCTGAGCTTCTTAGAGTAGAAAACTATTGCTCAAAAATATGTTTTATATCAAACCTTTGTCCTTGAGCATTGTTGGAAGTGTTTCCCTTTTTAGAGCACCACATGGAAAAAGAAGAGGCAATGAATTGGATGGCTCCCCTGTTTAAGAAATAAAAATGGATTTAATTCAGAGTGGCATTTTAAGCATAAACAGCACAAAATAATGCTTTAAAATGGCCACACTCTAAAACACTGTAAGAAGTGTTAATGTATTTGACTTGTATGCTTACAATTGCTGAAAACATTAAAACTAAACACAGGTCCCATAGAGTAGAAGCTATTTAGCATGTAAATTAAAAAAATAATAATTCATTGCCGAGTTATATATGTTTGCCTAAAAAGATCTGGCAAAAAGATTAATTGCTTTACTATTCTTGTGCTATTCAATAGAGAGCTCGGAGCAGAATACTTCCAAACATTTTAATACATTTTCTCCTCCCATTCTGACATTTGGCATTCTTCAGACTTCACATATATGCACACATGTAGAAAGTTAAAGACTCAATTCAGCAGGATAAATTCATCTTCTGCACAAAAGGAAAGGTCAAGACAGTCCACAGGAAGGAACAGCTTGCTTTGAAAAGAATTCCCAATTCTAATTAGTGTTTCTGTTGTTACTGACTGCAGCCAACATCCTTTTTAACATTAGGAGGAACTGTTAATTGGAGTTATATCTATCATTTTTATCATCTTTCAGGATGATATTCCCATAATCACTACTTCTGCTGGAACAAATACTGTTTGGAAATTAGCGAAGAGGGATTTTTTAAAAAAAAGAAAAACAGTTCTTTTTTTATGCATTTCCACAACAGTTTTTTTCTAAATTTTCTCATTGATTTTATTATTTACTACCTCAAACCATGATTATATCTACAGGCTTAGAAACATTAAAAATGGCTAGATCGCACTTCTATAATTGGAGCAGGTATCATTAGTTCTTATGTTTTGGATGCTCAGGTATACATGCCAACACTTTGCAGCCAGAATGGTACCAAGACAGCAGACAGCAGTGGCTTGTGTTTTTTTTTCCCCCAAAGCACAACCTTTGTTCCAGTACAAATAAATATTTAGGAGAAAAAATGAAAGGGAAAAATAAAATTAGGCCCATGCTGATTGACTATTTTATAGTAATAGTTGGGACAGAAAATTGGGAAAGAAGAATGAAATGTAAGAGGTCTGGGTATTGAGGATGACCTGAAAAAAGTCACTTGAGTTGGGTGGCTGTAGAAATGGAAGGAATGAATGAATAAATAAATAAATAAGGCAGATATGGGCAAAAGAATGGCGACCTTTGGTGCAGTTTATCTGCTATATAAAAAAAGGAATTTCTTTTTTTTTTTTCATTTTTCTTGGTCCTCACACAGCCAAAAATGGCATCAGCTAGACTAAAAAGAGAGCCGACAGCACACATCTTTAGGGCAAAAAACTTTGGGAGTCAACCCAAAGGAGGCATAAGCACACACATGAACACTGTAAGGAGAGCAAATGGACATACTTTATTTCTATTAGGTTCTATTTATAGGTAATCCTCATTGTACACCTATAGTGGTAATGGAGGCTGCCCATTATGGTCATATGTCATGACTGTTGTAAATTGGGTCAGTCATATGACTGATTGAACTGATCAACCTTTTTTATGGTGATCATTAAGTGAACACTATGGTACAAAATAAAATAAAATAAAATAAAATACAATAAATGCCGTTGTCATTAAGTGAATCCATTATTCACTATGGTGCAGTTTTGCTGAATATCAGAAGTAATTGCTGATTTTCAGCAAAACTGTTATAAAATATAGTCACATGACCTGAAAATGGCTATAAATATGGCTGTGTTGCCAAATGCCTGAAATGTGGTCAGGTGACCCTGCAGACTGATACGAACAAGGCTTTGATGTTAACACCAACTGTTAATTTCCAATATAGCCTGTCCCATCATGATGGTCTTCTGTATCTCCAGCAAAAGGGTGAAGTTATCATGGCTACTTTGCTTGTGGTGCGCTTATAATGTGTTTCTTTGTAAGGGATTTAAAGATAAGTGAAGACCTTTTGATTTTGTTAAAAACCTGCCTTTCTATTAGCAACCCTAAAGTATCCACTGTTTGCTTCCTAAGAGCAAACAGTGTTTCCAATTCAGAGATGTAGATATTTCTACCAGATTTGTATCCTTTTATTTGCAGTGATTTATGTGTGAGGGAAAATGGGAAGAAGGAGAACAGACCTATTTTTAAAAATGGTTGAGATACTTATTTTAAATATTATAAAAATATTTTTGCCTTTAAAGATTCCTAATTGAAGAAAATCTAATAACCAATAGAATGACCTTATTAAGATGTAATCATCTTCATCAGAATAACCTTATGTTTTATTAGGTACCACAAAGATGTCAGTAACATGAAGCCAAAAGAAAAAAAAAATCTGAGGCAAAATGCAGAGATAAAAGGAAAATACATTAAATACTGCTTCTTAAGGCTTAAGCCAATGTGATTCCCGAGAAGGAAACTTAATCCTTTTAAATTGGTTTAGAACAAAAGAATAACATTTTGACAGCAGTATACAATTTAACAGATCCTATAGTATTTTGTTTCTGTATAACCACCTACATGTGGCATTACATTGTTAAAAAGAACCTGTAAGATTTATCTTGGGAGAAAAACAAACATTAATGCTACCTATTTAATTAAGGGAACAGCTAACCTTTTTAGCACAGTAGATCAGCCAAAGCTAATACCAAAGACAACATTTCTTAAATACGGTAAGAGCAACTGCCCTGGATCCAAACTAATATAGTTCTGCTTTGGCCCAATACAACTCAGTGAGATAATTTAAGTGTCTTTGGCTTATATGGCCAAACAATTGTAAAATAAAGTGCTGTATGAATGATGCATTTTAAATTTTCTATTATCAATTACCTTTGTTTTAATTAACATGTAGATCTTGTATTTTCATAAAAGTTTCAGGAGAAATTGAAATAAAATTAAATAGGGAACTGGCATTCTGTAAAATGAGGCACCCACTTTAGCCTTAACTTATATATCATCTCCATGTGCTTTGTACAGCTGCAGATCCAATAAATGTTTTTTTAAAAAATCAGAATAATTGGTGACTATAGCTCATGCATTGTGTAAAAGTAGATTCACTGACTCAGGAAAAAAAAAAAGAAATCTCAAAGTTGAAGAAAGTATTATGGGAAATCAGAATGGATAACAGGGAATAACAAGACAGATTTACTTCTGGTAAATGGATGCTCTGGCACTGGCCAATACACACTATGTTGGGTATTATTTAACAGCCATTTTGGGGAATGCCTTTACTGACATGCTCTCAAAATGCCAAATGTGACATTGGCCCAAAAAGTTATTTTTGCCATAAACAAAAAGTAACCAACCCCTCTCTTGCAAAATAGAAAAAAGTCATTCTGGGCATCCAACAGCAAATGGCCTACATGACTTCTTTTATTGCAAATGTTTTGTCAAGAGAAGAACTAGAGATTTTAATTTTGTGAAGAAGCAGGTTTCTCCCTCCAAACTAACACTACATTTTAGCATTTATCCTTTTGTTGTGAAATCCCACAGGATGCTATTTTTGCTATTGTTGTTGATACATATTTCAAGGCCAATCACTATTGCCAATCACTTCTCACTATAATGAGAAATTTGTGGACTTCTTTCATCGTTACCCAGGAAAGAAAACATTCTGTATTTTATGTAGTCCATAAAATCATAGCAACATATACATATTGAAGAGAATAAAGTCATACACCTGTCATTGAAACTTATGTTTCCACTTACGGTAGCAAATGAATTCTGCTAGTTTTTCAGCATTTCCACAATCTTCTCCTTGTGGTTTGAGACCTATTTCAATTACTGAGAGGAGGAAGAGGAGACAAGATAAGTAAAGAAAATGAAGGCTTATCTTATAGACATTTGATATTACTATCTCATTGTTTAAAAGTAGAATTTTGTTTTACAATTATCATATGCAATCTAAGACCTGATCAACTGTGGAGACACAAGGAAATTGCATAGCAACATGGTTAAATCACAGTTGTTCACCCTGCTTCTGGTAACCAGATCACTGCAATTAGGCAATAGATTCCTTTTTTTTTTACATGTACTATGAATAAAAATAAGTTAGTATTATACTTTGCTGAAAAACATGATGTCATGGTTCTGATAGATAGAAATGAATAAATCAGAATTCCAAGGTTTGAATCTTCCTCAAAGAACATATTTATTGGATACAAAATATTGGCACATCAAAAGTGAAACCAAGTCTAAAATTCCCCCCAAAGAGTTACACTATTTCAAAGTAAAAGTTCCTATCCCAGTGCTATGCAAAAACTACTATACCCAACAGAGCAGTTTGACGGGCTTTCTAACAAAACGCCCAACCATCTTCTAAGAGAATGACCTTGGTTCCCAGACTAACAGAGATACTCCGTCCCCATTCCCTTTTGTGTGGCAACCTAGAACGAGCAAGATGGCTGCAGCCCGGTTCGTTGTAGAGTTGACGCATAGCTGCTGTCTAATTATTTGGTTCCTAATGTTATTTTTGCACTGTATAGAATATAATCATTACAAAAATAACAACAGGTTTACAGTCTAGAAAGACAATGAAAATATGAGATTATACTGCTACAAAAGAGAATATTTTCAGATGATACTTAAAGTAAGGTTGAGTCAAAGATTTCATGCACACAAATAGCTGTATAGTACCATTTATTTGTAGTGGAATTGAAGGGAAAATATTTTATGGCTTTTAAGGAGTGGATATATTCAATGTACTTTTAAAGCTGAAATTGCATACAGACATTTTTTTTATTTGCCTTGTCTTTAAAAACAGAAGCTGATTTGTCTTTTAGTACAGAATGCCATTGCTGGAACCCAAAAGTGGCTATCAGATTAAACTTGCCTAGTGTGAACTTTATTAACAATGTTTATTAAGGATGAACAAACCAAAAATCCACCAATCAATGTTTCTATAAAATATATAAAAGCAAATGTTCTCAAGCCAGTCAGAAAATTACCATTAACTACCTAACTGTAAATAATCTAGTCAAGAATTATTAGTGTACAAAGTGTAGTGAAATATACACATTTGTTGCAATAATTTAACTAGGAAATACTTAACTTTGCTGTCAAAATATCCCTGCTTTATTCATTTATTATGTCAGTTGTTATGGCTGCCCCAAACAAATGAATTCCAAATAATATTTAAATTGCACAAAGGCCCATAAGCCAGCTTCCACACCACGAAAGACACATAAAACTGGCTTATCTGACATCTTGGCCCCATGCCCAGGGTCTTTAATAAAAGCAAGCAGGGCCATATCAGTCTCGGAGGTGGTATGCTGTTCCAGAAAGCAGGCACTGTGACAGAGAAGACATGCTTCCAGGATCTCACCTATTGGCACTGTTTAGTAGATGAGACCTGGAGCTTGCCCAATCTGCCACATCTGATGGGACAGGCAGAAATAATAGGAGACAGGCGACCCAGTCCTTACAACTTTCTCAGCTGGCTTCCAACAAGCAAAATCAATTGGGAAAGTCAGATTTGCTTAACAATTGTGCGATTCATTTAACGACCACAATAATTTGCTTAACCACTATAGTGATTTGCTTAACAGCCATGGTAAAAATGGTCATAAAAGCAGGCTTTGACTTAGTTCATCAAATTACTTAGTACTTCTTTAATTCAGTGAATTAGTTCACCAAATTACAATGGAAGTTCTGTTCTTAATTGTGGCCATTAAAGCTGAGGGTTACCTATATGGAAAATAGACTTCCAAACATTATTTTCTTATGATGATAAAAAAACATGGAAACATCCTAGAAACTATTGATTCCCAGAGATAAATAGGAAAAAAGGCAAACAGACACAGAGTCTGTCAGCCTTCAAAAGCCAAAAAAGATACGTAGAGACTCTTGTAACCAACTTCTTTTATTGTGTTCCTCACCTATAGGCAACAATCTTGCCAAACTAAAGCAGACTACTTGCACCATAAAACATATACTCTGCGGACTAGGAAGGAGGCTGTCTTAACTCTCTTTCTCCTACACAAACTATCTAAACTGCAATGTCTTTTGCTCTTCAGGAATGCACTCCCGCCATCCTGGGAATCCGACAACATCAGATGTATAAATGTCCAAAAACCATTTTCTAATGCTATAATAATTATAAAGTAGCTTCCATATGTGTAATACTGGGGACCATGAACATACTTTATACATATCAATGTATTTTCTCCTCCAGCACATCCTGACAAATAAGTAAGGCATCAAATGGTCAGATTGCTCATACTTGTATGAGCAGTCTGACCACTTTGATGCCTTACTTATTTGTTAGATCTAAATCCCACCTTTCTTTCAAGAACTCAATGTGACTTCCATTTTACCCCCACAAGAGCACCCTTGTAAAGCATCCTAGATTAAGGCAGAGTGACTGGCCCTATTGCATGGCTAAGGGAGGACTTCCTTCTCGGAGTCTCCAGCCCTGGATTGCTACACTGGAGTTTTAGATAAGCTGACTGAATCCTTGATCTGCCATAGAGGATTAAGAAGCAAAGAGTAAGACAATTCACTTGCTAATCTTGTTTTAACATGAAAACTTTTTGTCCTGCAGCCAAAATAGAGTTTATCTGTTAAAAAGCCTGATGTATACTTTTCTTAAATGTTTTTATATGAATCTAAAGAAGTGGCTTACCTAATCCAGCAGTAGCTTTCCCTACCACATAAACAGGTTTAGTATTCCATTCTTCTCTCAGATAATTCTTCCAAGCTAAAATGAAACAATGCATCTTTCACATTTCATACTATGTTAAGCCATAAGCAATAGTGAACAAACCACAATAGGCGGATTCAAACTACTAAAATAAAACCATGCAAAGAACATTATGCTCACCTTCTTTTTTACAACTATCCATTAGGCCTAATTTAACAGCTTCTACTGCTCTTGGACTGGTAAAAATTAATCCACGGTATTGTTCAGGATGAAAAAGCTATTTGTTGAAGAGAGAAAAAAATAAGTAAAATATTAACATAACATTCACCATCAAGAAAACTTAGAAAGCAAAGAGTTTCAGTATTATTTTCATCAAAATGTTAATACATGTAAAAACACTAAAACTAGCCATTTTAGAAATAATGGGATCCCATTATACCAAATCTTTGAAAGTTTATTGTGACAATCTGAGATTGGCTTATGGGAAGATTCTAGGGCAGATAATAAAGTGCTAAATTGATAAGCACTTTGAATATAATGTACAAATCATTAGAAGACAACATAGAAGCTATCAAGCTTAAGACTACTAAGGCATTTTTTGATTGGGTAACTTTCTTTGTAGGTTACATGTCACTGTGATTAAAAAAATAAATTAAGTGTGGGATTTTTTTTTAGAAATGTTCCCATCAACATTTTGTTGCCGAATTTTAGGGACATACCTAATTTTTCAAGCCAAGTCAACCATAGTAGGCAGTTGAACCTTTCTTCAAGACTAGTGATCAGACAGCATCCCCCACCACTTGAAGAGAGAGCGTAATGTATGAATGCTGCTCTCTCTTCTTTTACATTTTGTTGCTTTTGCCTGAGACAGCTCCTTATTGTGTTTACTAGTAGGTTCAACCTATACCTAAAAATGTGAAAAGGTTTAATCTGAAATAGTAATACGACTCATATTTAAAAATCCAGTTTATATATAATTAAAAATGCATATTAATATGGCTGTATAACCTCATATCAGCATATGTTTACAACCGTATTAGCTTGCATGATAGATAGATAGATAGATAGATAGATATACTACATATATACAAGATGCTATTCTTTTAAGACATCTTTCAACCATCTGCTTTGTGTACTATTCATAAAATCCAAGTACCATTACAATAATACCAAATACCATTACAATTTCTAGCTCAAGAGATCCATTCTGGTAATCAAGTTAAGTTAGCCCTAATTTTGGCATAATTAGACTTATTGTTGGGTAATCTACTCATTGGTATTTTTTTGCATCTCAGAACTTTGGTATTACATGATAAACTATGGCAAAGAAAATGAAAAGAAAATAAATTGCTCCATAACCACCCTTAAAAGCATTTGAAAGTAAAACATTTTTTAGGCGTTTACAAATAGTCAAGAAAGATACATGTATTTTTATGTTTTATTTAAATGGTGGTTGATAATTGCTAATTCACTTAGTAATCAGTTTTAGATAGAAACTTAAGTTTATATCTAATTATAAAATACTTTTGGTCCTCAAATAACTACCCTTATCAAAATGATAACCCAGAAGTAAACTTACTCACTGAAAGTCTAATTCTTCTTATAAGCCATTAAACCAATGATAATACTATCAAAGTGCTCACTCATCTTTTATGAACGATAAAGTTTTTCCCTTCCACTGATTCCGGATAAAAAAGTCTTTAGGAAACAAATATGAAAAAAAGGTCAGCTAGGTCTAGTTCACTTTTTTGGTAAGCAAACATATCTCTGCTAGATATTATTGAATTAGCAGTGTCACAGGCAACATTTCCTATTTGCATTGGTTCTTAGTAAAAGGAAAAAAGTATGGATGGTGTAAATAGTTAAAAGGTTTTAAGCCAATGGTTCTCAACCTTCTTAATGCCGCGACCCTTTAATATAGCTCTTCATGTTGTGGTGACCCCCAACCATAAAATTATTTCCATTGCTACTTCATAATTTTGCTACTGTTATGAATCGTAATGTAAATATCTGATATGCAGGATGTATTTTCATTGTTACAAATTGAACATAATTAAAGCATAGTGATTAATCACAAAAACAATATGTAATTATATATTGTGAAATATTTATTTCTAATTACAAATAAATGAAATTTTGTCTTGAAGCATGGGTGCTCCACCTATGGCTCTGAAGGGAGACCTGACCTTTTCTCTTCTTTAAATGAGCCCTTGAAGTTGCCTGATTAGGTTAAGCATGACCTGTGAAAAATTAATATGATTGTGTATGGGGGGGGAGTGCTTATGGGGTGGGAGAAAATAAGGATCAGTTGAGGTGATACTCAAGGGGAGCTATATTTGTAGACATTTGTTGTCCATGTGTGTGATGTGGCCCACACAATTTGCCTCTTCAGCCTGAGCCACTGCCCGTTTTTCTACTTCCAGCTGAAATTCACTGTGTGTGGAAGGGGACCCCTGTCCTTCCAGGACAATTGATCCTAATGACCTTCAGAGCTTCTCTCTCTGAAGAAGGCAGAAGGGAAACCTTGGCTCTTTTATGACTCGTGGACTTCAACTCCCAGAATTCCTGAGCCAGCATAGCTCAATTCTAGAGCTGTGCCTGCAGAATCTTAGAGATTTTTGGAAAGAGGTCTTGTCTACTGAGGCAGAGGCAGAAGAAGGGAAATCCATTCCTTCCTCCCACCCCACTGCTGGTTCCACTGAGCAATAATCAACTGCTTTTAGTGCAGCAGCCAGGGCAGGAAGAATGGGGGGCATTACTGCAGCAACTACAAGAAAAGGCCCCTTGGAGCTTCTTGATTCCACACTAGGAGCAAATTCATTCCCCCCCCCCTTCCCACTTTCCAGAGGCACACTAGGAAACAGAGAAAAGGCAGGCAGGAGGGGAAAGGGAAACACATGCTGCAGACCAAAACATCCACCCAAAGCAGCCTTCATCTCCAAAGCCCCCCCCCCTTGATCTCTTCCCTTTTCACTGCCTGGACCAGTTTTCCTTCTCCCACCTGTAATGAAATGGTGCTCCCTCCCCTGCATCCCACAAGTAGGAAGCCATCAAGGGGGAGAGAGGGATCGAGCAGCAGGAATCAAAAAGTATGTGCTGTCTTAAGGAGGGCTGCAGGGATCTCAGAGGAGAAGAGGACAAAGGGGGGGGGGAATCAGCTGCTGTGGGAAGAGAGGAAAAAGTTACTATACTTGTATGCCCGCCACATAAGTAGGAACAAAGCTCCCACGTTTATCATTAGTGTGATCTATCATTGGGAATTTAGAGGATCTAATGCAAATTTCCATTTGTGTGAGGATGGGTTATCTGGGAGCTCAGTTAACTTACTTCTCAGAGTTGTGATAAGAGTAATAAAAACAGCTACGCTCTTCATTAGGTTTTGCATTATCACAGGTGGACTGTTTTTGCATGGGGATTGTGTTTTGTTTTTTCCTAACGTAGGACACCTTCAACATCATAGGAAAGCAAGGGCATTATCTTTTAGCAATGGAGATGTCCCGAGCAGCTTTTTCTGGGAAGCGAGCAAACATACCACCATTCTTCCCCCACTCGGGAGCATGAACTCCTTCCTTTTATAAACCGCCCACCTCAACATAAAGCTTGCCGGGCTTCTTGCAAGCTCAATCGCGTCTGCGGACCTGCTTGCAAGATCTCAAAGCTTGGTTTTCTTCCTCCACAGCAGAAGAGTCGGGGAACTTTCCTAGCCGTCCAGCTATCCGTCCGCCCATGGAGGAGCAGTGGCTTCGTAGGCCCGCCCATCCCCCCTTTGAACCAAGGGTCAGTTTTATAACCTGCCATCTGCCTCAAAGCACTTCTCCGACGCGAGGAGGCAGAAGTAGCAGCCTGCCGGGTGGATGCCTTCTTCTTCTTCTTCCTCTCCCTCCTCCCTCAAATGACGAGAGTAGGATGCTGCTGGCTGGGTCACCCTGCAGGGGAAAGCAGGGCTCTTTCTCTGAAAGGCGCTTTAGCCAGCTGAGACTCCCGGCGGCAACACAGCAGACAACCTCTACCCCGAAGCACGCCAGAGCCGGGCTAGCATCTGTGAGCTCCAGAAGCAGCGCCCAAACGCGGCTCCGCTCTAGCCAGGCCAGATCCTTCCCTGTTCGGGCTTTCCTCCGTCTCCTGCTCCCCTCACCTGGAGACAGATAGAGGAGCGGTGTCTCGGTTCCTAAGACCATCGGAAATATGTGTTTTCCGATGGTTTTAGGCGATCCCTGTGAAAGCATCGTTCGACCCCCAAAAGGGCCGCGACCCACAGGTTGGTAACCGCTGTTTTAAGCAAAGATTTCAGAGTTCTTTGGTCTTGAACATTGACCTGTTCCAATAATACTAAAAAAAAACCTACATGGTAAATTTTGAAGATTTAATTGCTATATTATTATATACATATTTATTGTTATTATATGTCTCTGAACTCATAAAGCAGAAAAACTTAGGTACACTTCTTCCCTCTGTGTTTTGCTTATGAATTTTCATTTAGAACCTGCTATGAAACACTTTTTAAAAGTTGGTTGGCCTTAAAATCATTTAGATTGCTTGTATTAAATTTATATTTAGAATTCTATCCTCACTTCAAAAATGCTAAAAATGGTGTTCATTGTTGTACTGCAATTTGAAATATCCCAACAATAAACTATTTTAATGTAGTTTCATTCTCTTCTTCCCCCACCCGTTTTGATGCTCGGGGGTCTGGATGGTAAGCTTGCTTCAGAGATTTAGAATGTGACTTTATACTAATACAAGTTGGAAGCAAGTCTATTTATAATCAGAGAAACTTCCAAATTAACATAAAAATGACATGATACCAAGATTTACTAAAGGAAATTCAATGCAGATGCTATTAAGCTTTTAAAATTGTTTTTAATCTGATTGCTGTTTTTCAATAAATGTGAGCTGTCCAGAAATGTAGATGAGTGGGCAGACATATAGACTGAATGAATAAATAAATTTAAAATTAAGACATTCTTAGGTTTATAATTTGTTCTGACCACCAAAATTAGAAATGGTCATAGTACTTCAACTCCATGATAGTAATTACCCCTCTCTCAGTATATTAGAATATTAAACTTAATTGCAGGGCACCAATAAAAAGGGAATCATTCTTCATGCAAAGAATAGAATTTGCTGCCATGAAAGATGCTAGTCACTAAATTATTTCAAAACACGACTGACTATACACATTGCTGAACAATGGGCCTATTAATGCAGCCATCAACATGGACAATTATATTACTGCTACTAGCATTTAAAGATCAGTTCGTATAAAGCAACTGTGAAAAATGTTTTGTGAGTTTTCTGAATATATGTGATACAATACCATTTGCTCAGAATACTGGATTAAGATAACTAGGTTTTAGCCGGGATTAGCAAGATTATTCTTATAGTCTTAAAATCCATTATAGTTTTCTCTTAATTTTTGATTATCACAATATTAGGATGGAAGAGTTTGTTACTACCAAACTGTTAGGAATCAGACGTTTTTGCTAATCTATTACAATTCACACAAGCACACTCATACAGGACTTACTATAAGTGTCCTGTCCTCAACAGGGTTTATAACATCAACATTTGAATTGCTAACCAAATTAAGAGAATGAAAGGAAAGATAAATTCATAGTTTTAATAGCATGGGATATTACTTCAAATAAAATTCAAAACTTACTTTTTCAGAGAAAGTTTGAAGAGAAATAAATTCAAATGCTAAAACTGGAATTAAGGTTGCTTTGAGTCCGTGTGAACCAAGTTCCTTTAAAAGAGAAGTACAGATTTTTATGGAAAAAAAAGGAATCCCAATTGAATTATTACCCATTACTCACACCTAAAATTATAGATTTACAAGTGGAGTGGAGTGGAGTGGAGTGGAGTGGAGTGGAATGGAATGGAATAGAATAGAATAGAATAGAATAGAATAGAATAGAATAGAATAGAATAGAATAGTTTATTGGCCAAGTATGATTGGACAAACAAGGTATTTGTCTCTGTGCGTAAACTCTCAATGTACATGTAACAGTGGGTCATGGGTCATAATCATAGTTACAATCATTAATCATAAGTTACAAACTACAAACTACAATTGATAAATCATAAAAACCAATAGGATAGTAGGAAAGATGAGAAGATGATAAAAGATTAGAATATAAACACTGCAGTACTGTTTTTAATTTCTATTTTTAGACTAACCAGGAACCTGTGAATTTTAACTATGGCACAAGATTAAATGACCTATGTTTTTAGAGCTGGTTGAGCAACCATCTTCTTTATTTTTGGAGCAGTTTGATACTAATATATTTCCATTAACAAATGCCTCAGCCCAAGTAACTATCTGAATCTGACCTCAAATGTAACATGTGACCTAATCCTGGAAGTGTAGTTCATCCCAAATCTCTGCTTTTGTAATCTCTTGCTTCTAGAAAAGTGGTGGAGTGCTCTAAAGCTTATGTCATTTTGCTAATCTGGATAAAACAACTGTCCAAGTATAGATTTGGGAAAATTTTATGTGAGCAGGAAACATAGGCATTTACATTTTATAAGTATTTCTAGTAATTCTTAAATTATTGTAACAAGGCAATTCAAAAATTATATAAGGATCAATAAACAGCACTGAAAATAGAGAGAGACACATATCTAGCCATGAAAATTATTTCACAAATAACACCATGCCAGGGGAAAAAAAACTATGGTTTGGAAAACAGCTAAAGGCATATTTCATCTATTATTTTTTCAAGAATATTATATAAGACTTTGGCAACAGCTTCTCTAAACTGTTTTCACTGTGATGTGGAAAAATGGCTGAATTCATACTAAGACTCCTGCACATGATTATACATGCTAAATAGATTACTTCATTAAAATGAATTTTAATTAGTTAGTCTATATAATGTAAAATGTGGAAGATTGCTCTAAAAATAAAACCTGCATTTTTTTTATGTAGGAACAAGAGTATTACAAGAAAGTCAGACATTAAAGACATCAATCACCATTTCTACCATTCATTCTAATTTAAATAAAGGAGATTTCTATAATAAAAGCTAGCTTTACTAAACAGTCATTATCTATTCCTTGTTAACATGTGTCTTACTTCATAAAATGCTGATAAATTATTGTGAGGGCATATGTAGGAGAAGGCAATTTTTTGACACTTTGGTTGAAACCAAAAAAGACTTCTTTAAAATATAAAATATAATCTGTATATTATTCACCTACGGTACATCAATTTGATAAAATGCCATGTATTTCATTTTCAGGAAATAATTCCTATAAAGTTGAAAAGAGAGGCTACAATATAATACATTTTTACAATAAAAATGAGTTACACATTAAATTACTTCTGACAGTAGCCCTTAATTCATAGCTATCACAGACAATAAAATATTATTTCCAAAAGACAATCAAAAAGAGGCACAAAAAACTAACATATTGTCTCAGCTAGTCAAAGTTGGGGGGGGTTTGTTTAATAATTCAATTCTTAGTGAAATGACATCTGTTAAGTACATCCATTACACTAAAATGAAGAATTACATTTTGGATAAGCTGGAATGCAATTCAAATACAATTTTTTTTCTTAGGTTACTCACCTTTATGTAAGAATCTGGTCCACTATCACTTTCCTTTGGATCTTTCAATAACAACACTTTCATTGTTTACTTGTGTAACACCTTGTAATAGGGAAGCACAAAATGGAAATTAATCTAAATCAGGATTCTTTTTTGTAGAAGAGTTGTACCTGTTAATGGTTACAAGAAACAGGATAATTAACAACAATTCTGAAACAGTGTTGATCACACAATGAGTAGGCACTTAATGTGCACCCTCTGCAATTGCGTATCAACCCTGATAAGGCTAACAAAATGCACATTGTCTTTAAATGATACGATATGTCTTCGCATCTGGAAAGGAAAAGGTAAAAGATTTTATTTTACAAATATGCAGCATGCTAATTGTATACTATGAATCTTGCATTTAACTTTGTAACATATAATTTTGGAATTCCACCGAAGTGTTAGGAGAGCCATAACCACTGTTATAATACATACTTGCCAATGCTCTTACAGTATTTGCATGTGGGCATCTAAACAAGCCCATCCCAGATGATGTTGTTGTCCTGCACAAAAAAGATAAGCTATGCCTGCCAAGAGGTTTCAGATATATTCCAAGTCAAATGTGAACATACAGCTCTTTTTCAGAGCAATATTACAGTATTTGGCTGATAACCTAAGGTCCAGCAGGAGAGAGATCCATTTTGTTTAATGCATTGGGGATGTTCTCTTTTCTCAACACGAAACAGTCTCAAATCCACCAGAGGTTCCCATGAGGTCTAGGTGTATTTATACAGTGTACTTCTCATCTGCCTTTCAAATGTGTGGTTAATTTACAGAATAAAACACACATTTAAACCATGCATTTTAAATGAGCCAATTAAGCAAGTTAAATTTAGATTGAAATAAAAGAAGTGGTATTTTCTAAAAATGTGGCCAGATGCCTTTGCTGTTATCAGACAGCTACCTTTCTCATTGGCACAGTTTCTGTACAGCAGAACCTTGCAGCCTCTCTCCTAAATATTTAGGTCAACTGACCCTAGAGAAGGCCAAATCATTAGTGAGAGAATCAGGGGCACTGATCTCCAAAATGTTATCACCAGTGACCCATCAAATTCTATCATCAACTGTTAGATAGCCACAAGCCCTCTACTGCAAGGTATCTATGCATTCTGACCTTAAGCAAATGTAGATGAGCCTTTTCAGACCCCACTTTGAGTCTCTCCCATCAGGGCTACTGGCAGGAAGAATTCATGGGACTCCTTATTTGCAGAGACTTTGCCCTTGTGGCTCCAGGGAGACAGAAACTCTTCCTCATGTCCTCCTATCATGTCTCTTTTATGATGCCCAAGATGTGCTCTGATCTAATCATTTCCAAACATGAGAACCACTTGATTTTTAAGGGATCACATATCAGGTGGCCAAATATATTCATCAAGTTATACAACTCCACAAAAATTTTAATTATGTTTTCTCTTTCCCAATAGCGAATTCTTGTGTCAAACCATTTCTCTTTTTTTACTCTAAAGGCTGATAAAAACTATAATAAAGATATTGATTTGATCAAAAAAATATGTATTAATGTTTGCATTAGTCATCAGGTTGATTTGCTTGTTAGTGTGATGTTTTATTTGTTATGAAAAATGTGTGTTTATCCCTGTATACTTCTTTGAATCCTGCCAATGCATTTTGTGAAATAGCTACAGATAGTCAACTTAAAGCCATTCATTTAGTGACAATTTGAAGTTACAACCCTGAAGAAAATGACTTATGATTGGTTTTCACACTAAAAATTGTTGCAGCATCCCCAAGATCACATGATCAAAATTTGGATGTTTGGCAACTGTCATGTATTTATGATGGTTGCCGTATCCTGAGTCATGTGATCACCTTTTATGACCTCCTGACAAGCAAAGTCAATGGGGAAGCAAGATTCACTTAACATGTCACTAAGTTAACAACTGCAGTAATTCAATTAACAAGTGTGGCAAGGAAAAGTTGTAAAATAAGGCAAATTTCACTTAACTGTCTTGCTTAGGAAATTTTGGGCTCAATTGTGGTAAGTCAAGAACAATCTCAATTTTGCTATTTTGTCATATTTTGGGTTTTATTTGATGTCTTACAATATTACAAGTTCTTCATTACTGTGTTTCATTTGTTAAACTTGCTTTCTTGAAACAGAATGGAATGGAAATAGGAATAGAATTCTTTATTGACCAGGTGTGATTGGACAAACAAGGATGTTGTCTCCAGTGCATAAGCTCACAGAGTACATACAAACAGTAAGTAATATGCCATAGATTATAAATCATAGTTACAATCATTAATGATAATTACAAACAATTGATAAATCATAAGAAACAAATGGGAAAAGATAGTAGGAAAGATGAGAAATGATGAGAAATAAGACAATGCTGTGGGAATTAAGTATTCATCAGAGTGATGGCACAGGGGAAAAAACTATCTTTGTGTCTAGTTGTTTTGGCATGCAATGCTCTATAGTGGTGAAATAGATTATGTCCAGAATGTGATGGTTTTGTAGATATTTATTAGATATTATATTAGAGCAGAACACCAGCTTGGAATTGAAAGAATGAGTTGTGGGTCCACTCTCTCTTTCATCTTTTTTAAGCCTTTCTTGTCAAGCTATACTTTTCTTGGGAGCCTTTCTTGTCAAGCTATACTTTTCTTGCAAGTGGTACCCTTTATGGCAGCCATACTTAAAAATACCAATAATTTTTAGAGTAGCATACCTTCTTTTTCTTAAGCTTTCAGACCAGAAAGATGTACAGTAACAGTACATCACACCATAACAGTATGTCAACAATATCATCAGGGTACCAGGTTTTAATAACTTATACTGCCTCACCCTCCTCTTGGTGGGAAATTTTTCCAATTATAACCTGAAGTGGTGTTTTTATTCCTACTTACCACCAAGATGCAAACCCCCCTCTAATGGAGAATACATCTATTATATTATTTACTGTATTGTAGAGAAGAGTAAATCTATGATCTGGTTGGAATGAGGGTAAATGAATTGGATGGATAGATAGGATCTGGATAGGATCAAAATAGATAGGAACAGGCCAAACGCTTCCCTATAAAATCTGGGAGTGAATGGGGTGAGAAACAGAATTATCTAAAGCACTTATCTTGCCTAATATGGGAGTAATACCAGGCCAAATTAAAATAATATTAAATTTCAACAGTCAGATTTCCTTGTCTCCCATTTTGCCATAAGAAAAATATTGGGTTATGTTTTAAGGATGATTTTGGAACATAACTTCACCATAATATTGTGCTGACTTTTTCCTGACTTTAGGGAAATACTATGATAATAAAAAAATAATGAGCAGGATACAAAAGTATTTTATTCCTCTCATTCCCTCACAGAAAAATAAAGACTAAAAATCTTTCCCCGCCTCTACTGAATGCAGTATTTCTCTCCCGCTGTCTCTTTTGGAGGGGGGGGGGGGATTTAAATTGCAGTACATTCTTAGCTTTTGTTGCTAATACGAGATTTCCATGCCTTGAAAAAAAGCGTTTGTTCTTTCATACGTATATAATCCTACCCAGCATTCTAATCCTTTGGGGCAACATTCAAGTCATACGCATAATAAATAATAAAACAGAAAAAGCCATAGCTCGCTGTCACTGGAGGTTGGCTATTACAAAAGCAAACCGTACAGTAGAAGTTGAGGTTGCGGGGGGAGGGGGAGTAATTAAGTACATTTAAACACGCATTAAACACGCATATACAGCAGGCTTACTGCATTTGAGAGGCAAAGACGCGGACAGCCTCTTTGCAGGCAACCAGGCATTAATGGGGTTATGCACCCCTTTGCAACCCCCGAGCGGTCGTCCCCATTTTTCTAACTCGGATCCGAAGGCTCCCTAAGCCAAGGCAAGCTCCGCCCAAACCGATAAAGTTCCGTTCTCGGAATGCGCTCTCTACCTACCCATCTAAGCCTGCAAAGCCAGCGTAAATCGGTCATTGGTTGAGTAGGAACAGCTCCCCCACCCCGCCGTGGATCCTCCCCACCGGAGGCAGCTTCTCCAAACCACGTCGAGAGGACTCGGCGCTCCTCTCCCCACAACTAGCTCTCTCGCCTTTGCTTTCGCTTCCCCCACCCCCGCCTCTGTCCACGTTTCCGGCCAGCGCATGCGCATGCGCATAGCGGAATTTAAAAAAAAAGCATATGGCCACTGGGGCGAAGCGCAGGAAGGCGGACGGGCCTTCAAAGTCTCGGCTGGAGGAGGAGGAGGAGGAAAGCAGTGCCGGCCAGTCATCTGATTCGGACCTGGAGAGTGATAGCGAGGAAGATGAGGAAGAAATTAACGAGGTGAGTTGAGCCCCCCCAGCCCGGCGGCTTCTTTTCCAACCTCTGCCTGCAAGCGGACAAGAGTTTTAGAGCTTCTTGACTATGGTAGAGCTGCTTCGGATTTGTCTGCAGCCTCGAGTCGGGAGGGGGGTGCGGTTGGGGACGGGGGCTCCAAAAACGCCGCTTGGTTGCTGGCTTTGGCTTCATTCCCCTGAGAAGATGCAGCCGTTTCCTTTTTAACAGTGTAATTTCGCCTGGAAATCCCCTTTATTTCCCACTTGTTTCCCATTCACTCCGAATTAGTGAATTCGAGAGAACTCCTTGGTGTCTTAGTGGACGATCACTTAAATAATATGAGCCGGCAGTGTGCGGCAGCAACCAAAAAAGCTAATACAATCCTGGGTTGTATAAACAGAGGCACAGAATCAAAATCAGTGAAGTATTAGTACAGCTTTATAAAATCTTAGTAAGACCACATCTGGAATACTGTATCCAGTTTTAGTCACCACATTACAAAAAAGATGTTGAGACTTTGGAAAAAGTGCAAAGAAGAGCAACTAAGATGATTAAAGGCCTGGAGACAAAAACATATGAAGAACAGTTGCAGGATTTGGGTTTGGCTAGTCTAGAGAAAAGAAGGACTAGGATTGGTTGACATGATAGCAGTATTCCAGTATTTGAGGGGCTGCCGCAGAGAGGAGGGGGTCAACTTCTTTTCCAAAGCACCAGAAGGCAGGACAAGAAACAACGGATTGAAACTAATCAAGGAGAGAAGAAGTAAGGAGAAACATCCTAACAATGGGGACAATTAACCACTGGAACAGCTTGCCTTCAGAAGTTGTGGGTGGTTCATCACTGGAGATTTTTAAGAAGAGACAACAGTCATTTGTCTGAAATGATATAGGGTCTCCTGCTTGAGCGGGGAAGGGAGGGAGGGTTTGTACTAGAAGACCTCCAAGGTCCCTTCCAGTTCTATTCTGATTGATTGATTTCTTAATTCCTGTTTCCACTCTCCCACGTTTCCTGTTCTTCTGGGTTTCAATCTTCAACCCATATGAATGATAGCAACCAAAATAGGAGGCCTGGGAACATAGACAAAGTGCATTTCCTTGCCACCAAAACCTGGAAGAGCCTTTCTCCATTTTGATTCCTTATAAATGTTTTGGACTACACCTCCCATCAGCCAGTAAGGTAGATTGTCAGAAGCATGGAGCAGCTTGTGTGGGATTGGGCATTGCAGTTGCTCTCATGGTGGTTGCATTTAAAGTCAATCTAAAAGAGATTTACACTGGTTTTATCTTCAGTTGAGACAAAGAATTTTGGAATTAATATCATAGGCATAAAATAGCAGGTGCTAATATGGGGAACCTTATATTTCTGGCAAATCTTTATTTGGCTAGATTGTAAAAATTGATAAAGCTGTATGGATACTAATGTGCATTATTTCTCTTTTTTCATAGGAAGTAAACATTGAATTTGAAGCGCATACAATAACTGATGATGATAAAAATGGAATAAAAAAGTTACTACAACAGGTATGTATGCTTTTGTTGTGACCCTGGATTTTAATTTTTGTCTTTTAAAATAATGATTCTTGACTAAATAATGATTCTTTAACTATTCCTAAATCATTGTAGACAAGTGAGTTGTGTTTGTCACATTCTGAGAACATAGGAGTCCTGGTAGCACAGTAGTTAGAATGCAGTACTGCAGGCTAACTCTGCCCACAGTCAGGAGTTCAATCCTGACAGGGCTCAAAGTTAACTCAGCCTTCCATCCTTCCAAGATCGATAAAAAGAGGGCCCAGATTGTTTGGGTCAATATGCTGACATTGTAAACTGCTCCGAGATTGGTGTAAAGCACTATGGGGTGGTATGTAAGTCTAGGTGCTGTTGCTAATTTTAACCACACAACAATGCTGTTCTGTTATTTCTAGCAGTTTATTGGGAGGGAAAGGAATATAAAGTTTACAATTTTGAATTTCAGTTTGATTTAAAAGTACATAGCTGTGGAACACATTAATTTACCAAAGTGATTTGGAATATTAAATCTCAGTGAGTAAAATGAGTGCAGAATGTTAGATATTATAAAATTAAATCATAAGCATATTATGTAGAAAGTTATATGATCATTTGAATATCGGCTTAATTCTTGGAAATGAATGTTATAACTCTCTACCTACCCAGTGTTAAATGTGACTTTACCTGTCAAATCTGATTTCACATACAGATTACATTATATTAAATAAAAGTCTCTTTTCTCACAGCTATTTCTAAAGGCTTCTATTAATACAGGTGATCTGACTGATATATTGATACAACAAAATCACATTGGAAGTGTTATCAAGGTATAGTGTCTTCTCATATTTTCTTAATTTACATACTGTTGGGGTTAGAATAAGATTTTTAGTCTTGCCCTCACATTGTTGTGACTCTGATATCATGCATTATCTGTGAGTAATTTTATTCAGACAATCATATATTGCTGAAGGTTCATCTTCACAATGCTCATGTTTCTAGATCCATTTAACTTCATAGCTTCTCTTCTTATATGCTATTTCTACAATATAATCATAACTTGAATTTTCTATGGAATTACTGGAATATTAAGACAGTTCCAACAAGACAGTTCCAACAATTTCCCTCTACTTCTAGACCACAGGTCTTCAAACATGGCAACTTTTAAGACTTGTAGACTTCAATTCCTGGGATTCCTCATGGCTGGCTGAGGAATTCTGGGAGTTGAAGTCCACAAGTCTTAAAGTTGCCATGTTTGAAGACCCATGTTCTAGACACATTTTAGGCTGAGCAGTATCAATTTGCATAGGCTGCCAGTTAATTGCTAGAACCATAGAGCAAATAGGTTACAATTTTGATGTAATTGTGTAATTCACTGTTACTGCTGAAAAAGATGAAGCTGCCCATAATTGATACAGCATTTCAGGGACTAGATAGAATTGTTCAAGTTCACCTTTTATGTAATTCATTATGTAATTCAGCAAATTGAGGAAAGTGCCATTTCCTACAATATTGTAGTTCTAGATATTGATCAGTATATAAGCAAGTACAAAGTTGCTTGAAAAACTTAGATTGTACAAAAAGGTTTGTGGGATTTGAGCTGATAACAATTGGTCAGAAAGCATATCTTTAAATCTGGATAGCTATCATTACAATTGCAAATAGCTACCATTAAAGAAAGACAGTTTCAAGGGAATTGAAAATAAAACTGCCAATTCAGTACAATCATAAAATATATAGCCAGAGTTGGAATACTATGCAATGTGTAGTTTTGGTCATCATCATAAACATGAGAGTGTATTGTGGAATTGAGATGTAGAAAAATCACAATGGCATCTACATGATTAAGGATCGATTCCAGAAGGTTATATTTGCAGATAATGCTCTTATGGAAATGATACAACCCAAGTCCATGTGCTTGTGTCTCTACTGCACTTAATAGGCATGCTTCTGAATAATCTTGTTTATTTAATAACGTATGTGCTCCACTGCTCCCAAAGCTCCAAGCATTTTACAACATAAATACATTTGCTTATTCTTTTTGCTCCAATTGTATAGTTAGTCACAGGTTCCCAGGCATTCACCAATATGGTTAACATTCTAAAGTTTTAATTTGGGATAAGTTGCCTTAAAGATTAACTTTATCAAAATGATTCTTCTTAAATATTAAGATAAATTTTGTTGTATGTGCTATAAGATTAATGAAAGTGGCAAGTGCAAAAGAGAAGAACTTCATAGTGGTGGTTCCATAAATATGCAACTCTGAATTGATTTATCCTTGGGTCCTATAATGCAGATAGTTAAGCTGGGGTTGAAAACTAAATACTTTAATGCTGCCTTTTCCAATGAAACATTCTCCTTTTTTTCTACTGAATATAACGTTTACAGTATTAGTCCTTTTATGTTACATTACTCTGAAAAATTAGCTTGTATATTTTAACTTAAATAGAGCTGGCCTTTTCAAGCTTGGCTATTTTTTAATTTGTTGGATTATAAATTCTATTGTCCATGCTGACAGGAAATTCTGGGAGTTGAAGCATGCCCAGTTAGGACGGCTATATTGGGGGAAAATCTTAAAATGTTGAACAGAACAACCAATAGCTATATTTGTTTGTTTTCTGTTTCATAGCAAACCAAAGTTACAGATGAAAGTGATGATGATGAAGATGATGATGAGGAGGAGGTTTTTGGCTTTATAAGCCTCTTAAATTTAACAGAAAGGAAGGTCAGTGATCATAAGCACATCAATTAATACATCAATATTAACTTAATTTGACAGTGAAATATTGGAATGCTTGACAGTTATTATACAGCTGGTCCTTGTTTAGCAACAACAATTGGGACAAGTCAAGATGTAACAAGAAAGTCCAGTTGCTTCGTGAAAAAGCATCTTCGGGTACAATTGGGGCCTGCTAAGCAAAGTGGTCACTAAATGAAAAATCATGTGACTTGGACTTTGCTTTTTAACTGGAAAGAGATAAACCACTCAATTTCACACCTTCAGGTTGTGTTTGCCTCCTAACTGCTCCCCCTTCCTTTGGAAAGCTTGAGTGCCTGCTTACTGCCTTGTAAACATTGAAAGATGCAGTCTCATTTCATTCCGCTCTCTTGAAATTCCTTTCCCTAATATCTCCTGAGGACGGGGGCAAAGAGACAAGCAGTTTCGGTACCTAGTCTCTTCTTTACCTGATCACCACTACCACCACCACCACCACCAATGCAATCACATTGCTGGCAAAATCATATTGTTCTCACTGTGTAGAAGAGCAAACATCTTACTCTCATGTAATCCCTTTCTGTCCACTCTGAGCTTTGCAGGGGGAGGAGCTATGGGTCAGGCACAGGTGAAGGCTTACTGACTAATGGACATCATGTGACTGAGGAATGCTGCAAAGTCTTTAAAAGGTCATAAGTTGAGCATTACATGATTTTTTTTCAATACCATCATAACTTTGGTGGCTGAACAAGTGGTTGGTAAGCAAGGATTACTTGCAACTACACCCAAAATTTATGAAGATGCAGATTCAGAAAAATGAAATACAAGTCATTAGATTGCCTTTACTTATCAAGCATAACACACCAGCCATCTTCATGTCTCCTTGTAACTGCTTGCATTATGTCTGTAGTCTGCTTTTTGGGGTACCTAGTGCTCTAGAAGATAAGAAAAAGCATGACATTATGCAAGTTGTCTATTGCTGTAATAATATTAGCCCTTGAGATTTGAAATAGTTACTCTCATTTGTAGTAGCAGAAGATCTTAACAAGCAATTGGTTAGTAATGCGAAATTGTTATGTATTTCACTGGAATTCAAAAATAATGAGGTTACTTTTATTTCAGGCATATTTTTGTTTAAGGTAGAAGTTAGGCATTTGTTACTTTTCTTGAATTAATCTAGGCTGGAAGCATTTCATATTTTTATTAGGACTTTGATTCATATAGCTGCTTTGCAGCTGTGAACTAGAATAGAAAGAGTCTCTTTGAGAATCCATGAATACATTTCGGGGAGGGGGGGTCTATGAATTAGAGTGGAGAAAAACATTTGATTTTATTTTATATCACATATTTGATAATTTTAATGTTTTGATAACTGAGTATAATTGGTTTCCTTTGTAGTACAATCTATACGTATTTTATTTTAATACATTTTTTCTGTGAAGGGGTTTCTAGGCTTAACCAGACAAAAAGGGGTCAATGATACAAAAAGGTTAAGAATCTCTGTTGGGAGAATTGAATGAATAATTTTAAAAGAAATCCTTTCAAATTATTAAAAGCTGTGATTTTGCTATGTCTAGAAATAATGCCCAGTGGTTTGCTTTTCAAGTTGTCTTATATAAACAATTATTTTGTACCACAAAAAAGATCTGGCCTTTGATTCCTAGGGTACTGAATGTGCTGAGCAAATTAAAGAACTGGTCTTAAGTCAGTGTGAGAAGAACTGTGAACAGGATGTGGTTGAGCAGCTGGATAAGCTTTTAAGTGACACTACTAAGCCTGTGGGCTTTCTACTAAGTGAAAGATTCATTAATGTTCCTCCCCAGATTGCTCTGCCTATGCACCAGCAACTGCAGTAAGTGCTTCTCCCAAATCATTTTTGAACTGTAATTTTTATCCTTGGACGACCTCTGAAACTTTATTTAAATGGAAATATCTAGAATAGGAGGAAAAAAGGGAGAATACATATAAAGAACAGAGCCAAAGAAATGAAGCCCAGCATTTTAATATTGTTATCTAATATGATATTTAATTCAAACGTATTGTGAATAAGATTATTTTACTTAATTATGGAAATATTGTTTGTAAGGGACATAAATATTTAGCAATATATTGCATGCAAATTGAATTATGTGGTTTTCACAGTTGCACAGTAGCTGGAGAATACGTTAAAACAATCATATTTTCTTCTAAATATTAACACGTTGCTGTAGTGGTTACAGTTTGTGGGATGAGGTGGGATATAACACAAATGCTTTGTCCTTGATCTTTAATGTAATTAGCATGTTTACTTCTAGGAAAGAAATAGCGGAAGCTCAGCGTACAAACAAACCTTGTGGCAAATGCTACTTCTACCTTCTCATGAGCAAGACTTACACTAATAAGAAGAATGCTAAAAAAAGAGGAAGTGGTACCTACCAGAAGGCAGAGCTAATGTTTTCAAATGCTGAAGAAGAATTTTTCTATGAGGTGAAACTATTGTTTAGTTCAATTTCCCAAATGTATTTTGATTCACATATTTACTTATTACGCTTATACACTGCCCGACTCCCAGCAACTTCAGGCAGTGTTGCAGTTTTGTGGTTTAAGCTTTTTATTTCTAGTGTGAAATTACTATGGTATGTAGACAATAAATTGTTTGGCATGGACAACTGCCATACTGATAAACCCATGTATGATTTGACTACTTGCCCTTAACTCTTGTGTACTTATTCTGTGGATTACCACTACAGATCTAGCTAGGAAGTATCTGCCTTGAATAGAAGATTTTTGGAACTGGTCTCTAGAGCTGGATTCTCTACTGTCTCAAATCTGAAACAACTGTTTTAACCTTATGCTTGGCTGACAAAGGAATAGTAGTTTATGTTGTTCTCACTGCCATAACTTATACATTGATTTAGGTGGAGGCAGTTCCAACCTTCAAGAATTTCAGTTGTAGCTGGTTTTCATTAAATGTCTTGCTTGGCGTTTAATTTTGTATCCTCTAATTACATACTTTTTTTCTCCTCTTGAGAAATAATCCAAATCAATTTAGTTTTTTTTTCTTTTTCAAATAGCAATCAGTGCTGAAATTCAGTTATTCAGTAGAAGAAGAGAGTGACTCATGTTTGGGAGGCAGATGGTCTTTTGAAGATATACCTATGAAGCCTTTACGAACAGTGATGGTAATCCCTGCTGACAGGATGAGTGCTGTCATGGAGAAGTTCAAAGAATACCTTTCTGTCTAGACCATTTTCAATGCAAACGGTATTGAAGATTGAAGTCATTCTATAAACGTTGACATTTGAGTCATAAATGGACTTTTTTTTAAAAAAAACTACTTTGCATTCTTTTAAGATTTCCTTCATATTGTAAAATGCCATGTATATATCTGCAACACCTTTATATGCTGTGAATTGTCATTTAAATTTGTGTAATCAGAATTTTTAAATGTCAATATTTATTTGATGCATACTTTTCTTACTGATTTTGTGTGCTGAATATATGTCATTTGTTCAATTATGATAATCAGTAATCTCATGTGTCAAGTTGTAAAAACTGGTCTTTCACCATGCCTAATACATAGAAAAGAAACACACAGGTGTTCCTTGTTTAATGACCACTCTTTTACTGAATGTTCAAACTTAGAACTATGCTGAAAGAGTGTTAGTTATAACTGTTCCTTGTACTTAGAGCTGTCACAGTGTTCTACGGTTCCATGATCGTGATTTCCGGCCTTCCCGGCAGCTTTTGTTAAGGGGGAAGTTGGTGGGAAATTGCAGATCACAGACTCGAGGTCCTTGCTTTATGGTGGCAACTGGGACTGCTGGAACTGTTGTCACTAAGCAGCATTGTCATGTGGGTTATTTGACTTGCAGCTGCATCACTTAGTGATGAAATTTCTGCTCTCAGCTTCATTAAGCAAGGATCTATACTAATAGAGTTTGCAGTGTGAAACTTATTAAGTAATGCATTGTTATTCAGTTGCTTCAAATTTTTCATCATACTTTTTGTCTTCATTTCCTTTTTTTGTTCCTTTTGTTTCTGAAATGATTGATAAATGATTAATTTATGCAGAATAGTCTTATTTTCAGTAACAGACAAATTACTGAAATAATATTAATTGAATTCACTTGATTTAGGTGTCACACAACCCAAAGTGACTTTGAGCAGCTCATAGTATGGCAAAGAGAGTAACATGCAATATAATTCAAAAAGCCAAAACAAACATAATATTGAGGTGTCAGTCTACAAATCTGTTAAGCTATAGAATAAACAAAGATGCATATTTTAAGATTTTGTTTTTTATCTTCATCATTATCACTGTTTTAGTTCTCATACCAAAAATCTTCAGAACATTGCTGGATCATGCCAGCATTTTCTGCCACACAATAGTTACCTGAATGTATTTGACACGTTCAACAAAACTGGACTGGATCAGAGATCCCCACCTTTTGGGCACCGGGGACCAGTTCCTTGGAGAAAGGTTTTTCCACAGACTGGAGAGTGCATGGTTTTGTTTGCTGCCTTCATCCCATGGATGGGGCTTTGCTTATTTGTGTGGACTGGTTGCTGGCATGCTGCGGCCCGGTACCGGTCCATGGACCAGGAGTTGGGGACCCCTGGACTGCATAACAAAAGCCTCCTTTCACTATTACTTCCCATTAACAAGGACTTAACAAATTCTCCCTATGATCAAGAATTTATAAAATTGAATCAAGTTAATATCCACTGCTTGTGTGAAAATGATTGTGTCTAGTCTCCTTTCCAAAACATCCAAATTGGCTACCCTTACTACAATTGTTGACAACAAATTCCTTACTGTTAACTATGTCTAAAAAGCTTTGGTTCCAAGAGGAATTGTACAAAAAAGTTTACACTTTTAAGCCTCTCTGCAAAATAAAAGCTTCAACTTTCCTTGAAGCGGTGGTAGCAGACTTTCTTCGGGTGCTGTAATCTGCAGATTAAATATAGCATAGTTCTTGAGGATATTCTGCAAAAGCTATAAATCTTTATTGTAGTATTTTCCAGCTGTAATAATAATAACAACAACATAACACCCCAGGCTTAACAATTGTCGATAAGAAAGACAAAAAAGTCTGGATAGTGGACGTGGCAGTGCCTGGAGACAGAAGAATAGACGAGAAAGAACTTGAGAAGATAACAAAATACAAAGACCTACAAATAGAAATAGAAAGACTGTGGCAAAAGCAAGCAAGGGTAGTACCAATAGTAATAGGCTCCTTGGGTGCAATCCCAAAACAACTGGAGTAGCACTTGAACACCATTGGCATTGACAAATTCGCTATTAGTCAATTGCAAAAGGCGGCCTTGCTAGGAATTGCTTCCATCCTGCGACGATATCTGTAATACCATCAAACATCCAGATCTGCTTATCCCAGGTCCTGGGTAAGGACTTGATAGGTAGACAAAATGCCAAATCCAGTCTGAACATCTGGCTGACTGTGCGATGATCGATATAATAATAATAGTAAAGTTGGAAAAGACCTTGGAGGTCATCTAGTCCAACCCCCTGCTCAGGCAGGAAACCCTATACCATTTCAGACAAATGGCTGTCCAGTCTCTTCTTAAAAACTTCTAGTATTGGAGCATTCACCACTTCTGGAGGCAGGTTGTTCCATTGGTTAATTGTTCTAACTGTCAGGAAGTTTCTCCTTAGTTCTAGGTTGCTTCTCTCCTTGATTAGTTTCCATCTGTTGCTTCTTGTCCTGCCTTCAGGCGCTTTGGAAAATAGCTTGACTCCCTCTTCTTTGTGGCAGCCCCTGAGATATTAGGATACTGCTATCATGTCCCCCCTCGTCCTTCTCTTCATTAAACTAGACATACCCAATTTCAGCAGCCTTTCCTTATATGCTTTAGCCTCCAGTCCCCTAATCATCTTTGTTGCTCTTCCCTGTACTCTTTCTAGAGTCTCAACATCTTTTTTACATCGTGGTGACCAAAACTGGATGCAGTATTCCAAGTGTGGCCTTACCAAGGCATTGTAAAGTGGTATTAATGCCTCACGTGCTCTTGATTCTATCCCTCTGTAAATGCAGCCCAGCACTGTGTTGGCCTTTTTGGCAGCTGCAGCACACTGCTGGCTCATATTTAAGTGATTGTCCACTAGGACTCCGAGGTCCCTCTCACAGTTACTACTATTGAGCAAGGTGCCCCCTATACTATACCTGTGCATTTGGTTTTTCTTGCCTAAATATAGAACCTTACTTTTTTCACCATTGAATTTCATTTTGTTAGATAGTGCGAAGTGTTTAAGTCTGTCCAGATCCTCCTGTATCCTAAGCCTGTCTTCTGGAGTGTTGGCTATTCCTGCCAGCTTGGTGTCATCTGCAAATTTGATGATTTCTCCATCTATCTCCTCGTCAAAATCGTTGATGAAGATGTTGAAGAGCACAGGGCCCAGAACAGCCCTGGGGCACCCCACTACACACTTCACTCCATGTAGATGCGGTTCCATTGAGGACCACATGCTGAGTACGGCCGGTCAGCCAGCTACGGAGCCATCTGGTGGTGATGCTGTCTAACCCACATTTTTCTATCTTATCAAGTAGTAGGTTGTGATCTACTTTATCAAATGTCTTACTGAAGTCCAAGTAAATTATATCCACAGCATTCCTCTGATCCACTAATTTTGTCAATTGGTTAAAGAATGCAATAAGATTTGTCTGGCATGATCTGTTTTTGACAAGTAATTTCTAGGTGTGTGGACTACAAATTCCAGAATTCTATAGTTAGCGTGCCATTGATAAGAATCCTGGGAATTGAAGTCTATACACTGGAAATTGCCAAGGTTGCAAAACAATTGCTTTAGTGTATAGTTTACGGGAACTCAGAGGAACTAACTTTTTTTTCTAATTTCAAAGGATCCAGGAATAACAATATTTTCCTGCTGTGACATAGAATCTATTTCTGAAATGTTTAAGAGAATTACCAGCCTTTATACAAGTGCATATAAAGCCCACTGGAATTATTAGACCAGTGGTGGCAAACTTATGGCACGCGTGCCAGAGGGGGCACTTGGAGCCCTGTCTGTGGGCATGCGCGCCTTGCTCTTTGGCTAAGTTTTTGTAGGAAAAAGCCATTTCTCAAGCCCCTTCCTTAGCCAAAACAAGCCTCCAGAGTGAGAGCACTGTTTTCAGCTTTGAATTATATCAAATCTGACACCAGAAACAGACAAACAGATGACCTGAGTGCTGCATGTGTTGCTCTCAAACTTACAACGTATAAGCCAAGGTTAGACAAATTATCAGCATGCGTAAAACAGCAAAAATAACATTAATTGTTCAAAAGCGTGCCAAATGCAAACTTTTACCTTTCAGTAAAAAGTTGTTGGTATCCTTGAAAGCTGTTATTGTGTTTTTCTTTTAAGACAAAAGATGTTAATGTATGAGTTTTTTTCTAAACTAAAACCTCAGTATTCAGATTAAATTGCCGTGTTGGCACTTTGCAATAAATAAGTGGGTTTTGGGTTGCAGTTTGGGCACAGTCTCTAAAAGGTTCGCCATCACTATACTAGACTTTCATCTCTAGAAAGTACCATGGAGTCTGTTTCTTAAATCTTATAGTTGGATAGGTTCTGTATGTCAAAGTAGGTTTGTCGGTTTACAAATAGTCTGTTAGCTTAATAAAAAAACATGTTCTGGTTTTAAATAACAAAACAGACAAGCTGAGTTGTCAACCCATTTTAACATTTCTAAGAAAGATTTTAATCTTTTATTCCCTGTTTCAGTAAATAAAAAGTACTTAAATCAAAATTCATTATTTATACAGGGAAAAAACCTCAAATCAGCTATACTGAGCTGCAAACAAGCCATTTTATACAAATAGTCATATCAGCTAAATTTATAATGAATATTGATATGACTGTAGTCTGACTTTGCAAGGCTGATTAAATGGTGAATCAGGTTACAGTGCCAGCAATAAGCATTTAAAATAATACTGTCTCTAACACAGCATTTCATTGGGACAACAGTTAAGAAATATGGCTTGGATTCAAATGTCCCCTTCATTGTGGATGTGAATAAATAAATCCCTTGGGGGAAAGAGGTCTTGTTTCCTAAGGATACTACAGCCTGAACAATAGTAAGGTATACATAGTTACTTTTCCCCAAAAAATATTTGATAAAATTCAATAGCTGTGCATGTGAATTGGGTTGCCCAACGTCCCAGAAATAAGCCTAATAATTCATGGTAGATCTTGATCTGAAATTCTTGAGATCCATCTAGCGTGGGGGGTCTATATATTGTGAAGCAGAAATAGTGAAGTAGTTGGACCAATAGTCTGAAGCAGTTTTCTGTATTTCACCTTGACTAAAATGAAGGTTCACAGACATATCAATATCCTGAAAGCCTTGTAATTATGAAGATAAGTTCCACTGGCATTTTAAATGATGATAACGTACTGTAGCTCCTACCCATTTTTCTCAGGCAGAAGATCATTGAGTAATATATTGCTATATCTAGAATATCGCTTTTGATATATACACACAGACACATGCACAAGTGTGCAAAATTAAGAATGCTTCCAGTAGCCATGCCTGCCATCAATAACTGAAATGAAAAGAGTTGAAGCTGAGGGTAATGAAATTCAAAGCAACACAAAGAAACTCCATCATTATGCCTTAGGCAGTATTTCAATTTCCTTGATTAAATCAGAATTTAGAAATTTTTCATTAGAAAAGCTTTGGAGATTTGAAACTCTCCTGAGTAATAGCCAAAGAAAAGTTCTGAACTGAGAGACAGAACACAATCAGCAACTTTGCTTGCACAGGCTACTTAAGTAATATAGAAAAATGAATGAAAAAAATATGGTTCCTCTAACATGTCTGACGATATTGCTAAGATGATTTTTATAGCATTTTCAGCTACAGCACACTACTAAATTCATGGAATATAAATCATCTGGGATCCTCATGAAGTTATAGTATAAATTAGTACAAAGGGCAAGATAGTTGCCAATCTGACAACATTAAGTAATTTCCAGATCCAGTCATGTCATGAGCAGTCCAAAGTGGGAAAAAGCATCTGTATGTACTATAATTAGATGGAATTAATCTGAGTATACTGTATGTCTACCTCAGTATGATTAAGTCCACACCCAGAAAATAAGTCTAAACCTGATGTTTTGGTGTGCACCTAATATAAGACCTACCTCCAAAATAAGCCGTAGTAAAGAGCCTACCCACTCCATCCCATTGTCTGGTTGCTTGTGGCTGCAACAGGGCAGGAGAACGCATGTCCTACCAATGCCGCCGCTACAAGGTGAGGCATGGC